TAAAATTAATAAGAAAATAATGAATCATCATAATATAGAAGTTTTTTTTAATTTGCAAATAATTTAAGCTTATAAAATGAACAATCAACATTAACTTAAATCCTCAATAGTGTAACAATAAACTAAAATTCTATGTATAAATAAAATGGATAAGCTCTCAAGAATAACATCAGTGAATTAAAAAAAGTAAAATAGAATAAAGTAACTACATTCACAAGTAACTCTCCAAGATAAAATTATGAATTTATGCTTGCGAGTCCAGTAGCACTTTAAATGTAGTAAATAAATGTTTAATTAGAAGAATCGGCAGAATTAAATTCAAAATTCTAAAACTTTGCATAAATTAGCTAAAATCAAGAATTCTAATCATTTAGTAAGATTAAAACTTAGAAATTGGCTGAGAAATAGTCAATTTTAAATTAGAATGACAAATTTAATTTTAGCTAATTTGAAGAAGCAAATCTTGAAAATGTTCAGACAAGCATGGATGCTGGATAAGACAATTTAACTTCTTAGATTTAAAAATACATAACTGATATTGCTCCACTATCTAGTAAGCGCGGCTTAATTTAAACAATAACATCTCCATTAACAAAAAAAACATAAATGCAAAAAATCAATGAGAAGAAAGTTAAAGAATAAAAATAATCAAATAAAAGTTTTTAAACATAAGAGGTAAATAAATTATAATAATAGAATATTGATATTTAATCTATATCTTCTTCCTCAAGCAGTGTATAAACACGGTAAATAATTTTTATTTAAATATTTTTTTCATTTTTTATTTAAAATTTATTTTTATGTATTTAATAATAAGGGCATTTAAAATTCTGAAATTCTCTATATATATAAATATTTAATTAATTTATATTTTTTTAATTTAAAAAGATAAGTTTTTGAAAATATACACAAAAAAAATCAGATGAGATATCTTAAAATAATAAATGTTTTCGGAATATTATCAGCTTTAGCTATTCTATCTTTGACATTGTTAGCATTTTTTAATTTTCTTACAAGCTTAGTTTCTTAAAGAGAAAACTTCAAATACATTAACTGGATTTATATGATTAACGTATAAATTAGTTATTCCCTTTCAGAGCGTAATATTATTTTGCTAAACTAATACAACCTTTTATCTACGCCAGCTGCTCAATACTAAACTTTCATGGATCTCTTAAATGAATAAAATTAATCTAGGATATCTCTGAGTAAACAACAGATGAATTTACTTTATAATAATACTAACAAAGATTTAGAAGTTTTTAATATTATTTAAAATAATTACATCATTTAAAATATATTTCAAAGCAATACTATATCCTAATAGTAAAATCTTTCAATGATATATTCAATACTCTTATAGATTTTTGGGATATTTTATTTCGTTTCTAACAAAGATCCTTTAGGAATAATAAAAAAATAAAATGAGATAAACTACCCAGCTTTAAATGAACAAGTTCAATCTGTTTTTTCTCAGATGAATGATGACTATTAAAATTAACTTTCATCCATTAAAAGTCAAAGTCTTATTTAATTATATGTTATTACCTTTATCATGCTTCTTTTTTTGATTAGCGTCATACCAAGTTATATCTTCTCTAAAAAAAAATAGTAATAAATTTTAGAACTCTTTGCAACTTTTGATAAGTTATAGTTGAAAAATATTCTTGATCAGATAGCTAATTAACTATAATTTTACTCAATTGATCAAAAGTAAAATTTTATTAAATACTAAAATAACATTTCTAATGGTTAATTTTAAAATCTTCTTGCTAACTCTGAAAAAAAATTAAATATTAGTAAAACTTCTTCTTTAAAATACTCTTTAAAGAAATTAATAGTGGTATTAATTTTAATATTTTGCTTAACAACAATTTATCCAATAATAAATTATTTTATTGTGAAATAATTTATTGATAATTCTATGGTTATTTACAATTTTAACAGTAAGTTTTTAATTTTTTCATAATTTAAAATTATTTTCATTCATTTATTTATTAATAAAAAGATGTTGTCTGTGCTTCTTATTTTGCAGTATTAAACTCATTAAGAGCTAGATAAGGCCTTGCTATGGCATTTTTAATACCTTAATAATAAGTTCTATCTATTTAAACTTATCAAGGAATTCTAAATTAGCTTTCCATTTAGATAAATGAATTACCTAACTTACTAAAAGAAAACATACAGAAAATAGGTTCAACAAGTTTACATAATTAAGAAATATTTGATGATTTTTTGACTAATGTATTTACTAATAACGCTTGTGATACTATTAATAAATACACTTAATATCAAAATGGAGATTTTTTGTTTGATTAATGCAATACTGTCGGTAAGGGCTCACTTAAATCAGGTCTTCTTAATGGTATTGTGTTCTTCTTTAGTATTTTTAAAGACTATTATTCTTTTGCTTTTAGTCAAAATGCAGCCACTTTTTAAACATATTTTAATAACTATAACAAAAATGTTCTTGCAATAAAATAATTTTAGTTTAAAATAGAATTATCCAAATAGTTTGAGTACCTTTTAAACTTCTTTTAAGAATAAAATTTATAACTTTACAATTTTTATGAGAATCTTAGCATCATTCTAGTTATTATTTAAATATGCCTTGTAATAATAATATTTATAGTAAGTTGGTCTTACTACTTTAAAAGTATAAATGATCAAATTTTCTCAACAAAGCAGCTATTGAATATATTACCATAATAATATTTAATTTAAAATACATATGTTATGTCATATTTAAATTTGCGCGATTGATAATTTATTTGTAGATAGATTATTGTTTGCTTGTATATTTAGTTATTAATTTAATTATTTACAAATTAATTAATATTCTTAAATTATGAATTAAATTAACTATAAAAAAACTCATAAGCAATTTCTTACTCTTTAACTATTATTAACTTTTTCTTTTAGTATTTTAAAATAAAAAATATTTAACATAAAATCTTTAAAACAAGCTTAGTTACTGAGCTTTAACTTATGAACAAAACTATTTTAATTTTTGAGCTTTAAAAATACTTCAAAAAATATAAAATTTAATATTCAATAAATAAAAAATATGGTTTGTTTTTGCTCTTTATAAACAAATCTTTAATTCAAACTGCTCTAAATGTGTTTAATTTCTTCAAACATTTTGTTTTTTAATTGAATGTAATAATTTTTATTAAAATGTTGTATTCATGCTAATTAATTAAATAATAGCATTAAAAAAATTATTTAGTAAACAACATAATTCAAATCCAATAAAAACAGTAAATTTTATATTTTATTAAATTATTTATTACATTATGAGTATATTCAAGTTTAATATTAAGTTATTTTGCTTTTTGTTTAAAAATTAATACCTGCCTTAGTATTGCTCATTCAAATTAAAATTTTTTGGAATAAATAAAAATTAGTAAATTTGAATTATTTAATTATGCTTTTGATGCTTTCTATCTGTTAAATTCTTCTTTTGTTATTAAAAATAAAAGAAATCTAAATTTAAAAATTATTTGATAAGAGGATTGAAGGCATTCAAAAAATACATTATCAATAGCATAAAAGAAAATTTAAGAAATGAATTAGAAGTTTAAAATAAATTATTTTAATAAAAATATAACTTCCTCAATAATTTATAGAATAAAATTATTATATGTTAATGATGTGTATGAGGTTGTAAAGCGAAGCAAAAGGAATAAGTTGTTTTCGTTCATAATTTTTGCTTTATACTAGATGATGCTTATCCAACTTTAAGTAGATAATATAACATATGATAATTTAGCATGCGATAAAAAAGTATTTTCACGATTTATAGGTTATTTGTTTTTCTTAAAGGAGTTTACAAACAATTCTTAGACTTTGATAACTGTAGCTGTTTAAGTATTTACTGTTTTAAATTCAATTCTTCTAAACTTGTTAGTTTTCGCATCTATTTTCAAAAGTAGAATTAATAAAGAGCTATTCTCTTTATTTTCTTAAATATTTTAAAACTACTCATTTTTGATAGCTCTACCTTCATTCTATATGTCTCTTTCATAATAGCATCAATATATCTCTTTTTTTAATATGTTACTAACTGCTGTATTAGGTAAATGCATTATTATTTTCTTTTTAAATCCAATTTTTATCAAAAAATAATTAGGATCATTTTTAGTATCTTTGGATTATGATTATTCATTTTAAGGTGAAGATATTCTATAAAAGAAAGATTCACAACTAAATAATGCAGAATTTTAATTAGATTTGATTATGTGTGCCTGCAGCTAATTTTTTAGCAAGTATGTGCTAATTTATGCTTCTATCATGATAAATTTACTTAAATTATTTATTATTTTAAAGAGCCATATCTACTTTAATAAGATGTTATGTAAATTATAGATTGAACTAGCGCTGTTTAGAAGTTTAATGCCTATTTCACTGATGATGTATTCATTATGCAATTTAGGTAGCGATGTACTTTTTTTGCTATGGATAATTTTGATACCATTATCATTCAAATTTGGAAGCACCATTTTCTATGAATGGTACAACTTTATTAATTTAGAATTTACTTCAACTTCAGATTAAATAGGGAGTTTCAATCTATTCAAATTTATAATAAATGAGAAATCCTAATTAATTGACTCATTTTGCAGACAAGTCATTAATGATGGAAAAGAAAGAAAGTAATATACCTGTTAATAAAGTACAACAGTATTCTTTTCTTAACAAATATATAATTCAGAGGATCCACAAAAAACTTATGATAAAGAATAAGAAAGTAAATAAAAAGTAAATCTTAATTTAACAAAACATTTGGTAAACTATTGCCTCAAAATCACCTCCCCTAATCCTATTCATTAATCACCTCCTATATGACTAAAAAAATTGGATTAGGGGGAGGTGACGTTTGGACAAGAGTTGACTCAATATTTTATTTATTATATTATGAAAAAAAAACTATTTCAATAAAATTCATTTAATAAAAAAAGTTGTTGAGGAATATTTCTGATGAAGAAGATTAGATTTGTAAAAAATATAATCTTGAATAAGCTAATAACATCTAGATGATAAAAAATATAGCAGATATCTATAAAAAAACAATAGACTTTAATGGAATAAAAGAAAAAATAGATATCTTAAATTTTTCTTATTTAACTCTTCTTGCAACGAGGTATCAAAATTCTTGCTAATCCTATTTACAAATTTTAAACATCTATAAAAATAAAAATATCAAACTGAGTTGGAAGGATGAACAAAAAATATTAACAATTCTCAGATTGGTAGACTAAAAATCTATATTGAATAACAATATCATCAACAAAGAAAATAATTATTTTTAGATTAAGCAAGTTTTAGAATTTGAAAAGTAAATTAAAAAAATAAATTACAAATACTTCGAGTGCTTGAAGTAGTATTAAGAAGTTGTCAAAAAGCTCTCATTAAATTTTATTGATATCGATGAAGCTTACTTGCTTATGAAATTTTATAGAGAACAAAGAAATATTTTAAAAGATTTAATTATTAGTCAATTAAAATAAAACAGCCAAAATGAAGTTCTATAAAACATATGTTGTAAATTTGATTAGCATCTAATTCATAGAAAACAACTATCTTTATACACTTAAAATATCAATGAATAATAAGTAATTATATAAAACTAAAAATAATTTTACAACAAAAAGAGTTGCCTAGCTTTTATTTCACTTCTAGATAATTAATTTGGTGTAATTAAGAATGTAAATAAAGGATTTTTGAAAACTCTTGGTTTTTAAATTAAATAGCAAGTTGTTGGTAAATCTATTTCGTAAATATTTCCTTTAAACCTTATTGAAAATAAAAACGAAACAATGATTAGTTCTATTATTACAGAGGAATTCTTATATTTATATAATGATATTTTAGATATACCACTTTTTATAGCTAGAAATAATCTTGGATATTCCTAGCCCTTTTAAGTTAAAGTTCAAAGTCAAAAAATAAATGATGAGGATTTTGGATTAGCTATTTGGGCAAATCCAATCCAAGATGATAACATTTATCTTGTCTTAGATTACAATGATCCCTCTTCAGTAAAGGCTCTAAGTCAAATTTTCAAAGATAAATTCATTAATTAAAAGTTTGATGTGCAGAATTTAAAAAATATCAGAATGGAAAACTTTATACCAATAATAAATTATTTTGTTAAAAAATGTGATACAGAAAACTAAAATAAAAGATTTGAAACTTTACTCATTAGATCTTAATTGAGATCAGAAAGCTATGATTTAAGACATCCAAATTTTTTAAACTCCTTAAAATATCAGGAAATATATAGCATAATTGTCAAGTTTTAAATAGTTAAAACAAAAATAGCATCTTTTGTTAATATGATTATTGAAAGCTACTCATAAAAATAGTATTTTAAGGAAAAGGTTTTTCTAATTCAACAATATTAGAAACAAATTTAAGAAATTTGTGGTATTTCCTTGGAATTTAATCCAACAAATGAAGAAAATAATGATGATAAATTTTTTAAACCCACAAAAAGCCAATTCTATTAAGATCCAATTTTAGAAGATACAAATATATTAACTACCCTTAGACAAGAGTCAGATTAAAATGAATTTAAAACGATGATATAAAATTTAATTAACACAGTTAACTATTAGACTATTTAGAAGTATTGTGAAGATAGTGTATTGAATGATTTGTAAATTTCCAAAATTAATGGATCGTTTAATGATTAATAAAAATACATAGAAATAGAGCCAACTAATGAAGCTATTAATACTTAATTTTCTTAAGCCTAATATTAAATATAAAACACAAATATGAGTAATAATTTATTAAATAATGAAAATAATATGGACACAAGTTAATTCATTTTAAATACTATTGTAAAAACAAAAGAAAATATTGATATTAAAAAAACAAAAAATGAATAAATGAATAGTGATATTAAAAAAATTAGGAATTTTCATTAAAAAAAACAAAAGGCATAAAAATTCTAGAAGATGCAAGTAAATATTAGTTAATAATAATAAAATGAAAAGATTAATTCCAAATAAGCTTATCAAATGCAATAATTTAAGAAGCAAATTACTAAAAATTTATAAGAAGGTGTTGATTAAATGATCTAAGGTTTAAATAGCAATGAGTTTTCATTTGAAAATCTATAATAAAATTAAAATATTTTAGTCTAATAAAATTTAGCTAATTAAGAAGATGATACTACAATTGAGAAAAAAAGCTAAACATAATTTGTATAACATAAAAACTAAGCCTAAAAAAACTAAGAAATCTAATCTGTTTCTTCTTCAAGTAAGAGTTTTGAAGATAAGTAAATAATTAATTTTTTTATCATTATTTTAAGCATTTATAATATTTTGTCAATCCCCATCAATTTAGACACCTACCTACACATATTTCAAAAATGCAAAAAAAATTTTAACTAGCTATTTAAAAAAAGAGGGAGTGGGGGAATTTAAATGATAGTTGATTAAAAGGAAAATTTTTTATAAATTGTTTAAATACAAAATCAAGGATTGTTTGTTTTAAAAAAATATCTATATAAACTTAATTATAATTTATTTTATTAATATAGATAGCTGCTTGAACTTATAAATTAGAAAATAAAACTAAAATTCCTTAAATTTGTGAAATTATTTGCTTTTCTTTCTCTGGTTTCAATTTTATCTATAACTGTTTATGGATTTTATATATTTATCTATAGTTTAAGATTTTAACGAGAGAATTTTAAATATATAAATTGGGTTTACATGATAAATGTACAATTCAGTTATGCTCTTTCAGAGAAAAACAACTATTTATTAAATGAATATAATTTGCTCTAAACTCCACCATCTTAGTTGCAAGAATTCACTCAGTTATAAATAAATGACTAAAAGTCAAGAATTAATCTAAGCAAATAATATTTGCTTTATCTTTACAACAATACAAATCCTTAGATACAACTTTTTAATATTGTTTTAAATTAGGATATCCTTTAAAAAATTTTTTACAGCAAAGTGCATTCAGATAAGTATTAAATGCATATGTTGTATGCCATGCTTATGTAGGATTATGGAATTTTTTATGTTGCTTCTGATTTAGATCCAAATGGTTAAATTAAATAATAGAATGGAGAAAATTATGGAGCATTAAATAACCAAGTTTAATCAATATTCTCACAGATTAATAGCAAATATCTTGATCAACTTAATTAAATTTAAAGTTAAAATATTTTACAACTCTATGTCACAATACTAGTCACTTTTTTTTGCTTGATAAGTCTTATTCCAAGTTACATTTTAACAAAAATTTAGTAGCAAAAGATACTAGAGCTATTTGCAACATTAGATAGGGAGTATCTTAAAGATATTTTAATGGATTTAAGCTATCAGATATAATGTTACAAAGGAAACGTAGGAAAAAAGAAGTTTGATAATTCAAATTCAAGCTATTCTACTCTTGAGGAAGTATAAATTTCAAAGAAAAACCATTCAATTCCTATTTATATTGAAAAAAAATTAAATATCAGCAGAACTTCTTCTTTGAAATACTCATTAAAATTCTTTATTTTTGGATTGATTGTGGTTTTTTTATTGATTTGTGTATATCCTACTCTAAATTATATCCTAATTAGCAAGTTTATTAATAACTCAACTATCATATTCAACTTTAACAGTAAAATTTTTTCATTTATTTTCTATTTTATCACTATAAAACAATAATTTCTAGGTGCTATTTGTGATACATCTTTTGCTATCTATAATTCACTAAGAAATAGATATGGTTTAGTAACTGCATTTTTATTACCATAATGGTAGTCTCTTCCTATATCAACTTTCTAAAATAATTTAAATCAAACAGCTGATTAAATTTTCTCACTACCTAAATTAATAAAAGAAAATTTAGAAAATGTGACTAATGCAAATCTTTACAATTAATAAATTTTTAAAGATTATCTCGTTAATATTTATACAGCTAACGCATGTGATACAATGTAAAATTACACCTTATATTAGAATTAAGACTTTTAATATACTTAATGTGGCAGTGTAAGCTAAGGGACTCTTTAAAAAGGATTACTAAATGCAATTGTATTTTTTATTAATATATACAAAGACTTTTTATCTTTTGCTTTTGCTGAAAATGCTTCTGACTTTAAATAGGGTTTTAATGTGTATAATTAGAATATACCAGCTTACGATTAATTTTTATTGAGGATAGAATTGTAAAAAGCTCATGAATCTCTCATGAAATTTTTTTAAGACTAAAATCTTCAACTCTATAATTACTATGAACAAATCATAATAATATCAGCTACTATCTAAATATGCTTTCTGGTATTATTATTTGTCATCAGCTGGTACTCATATTTTAAAAATGTAAACAGAATTATATTTTCTACTAAATAATTACTAGATATTTTTCCATCATAAACCATTATAAAAAATACATATATAATGTCATTTTTAAGATAAAATAAGTGAAGATTTTTATTAAATATTTATGTTTTTTACAACTGTATTATTTAATTTAAAATTATTATTGTAATTTATATTTTTCATTTATTTTTCTTTCAAATTGATATTTTATTTTTTTTATTTTATATTTTTAAATTATTTTATTAATTTAAAATTCTTTTTATAGAAATGTGTTATTTAACATAGTTTTAAGCAGAAAAAGGAAAATTTTATTTTTTTATGATTCTCATAATATTTTTTAATAGATGATATAAGAAAATAGATAAGATAATATTTATTGCAAAAATAGAGCTATGAGTACAGCAAATATACCTATGGTGTTCATCTTACAAAGTAATAATTTTTATAAAAAAGATAAATGACCATCCTTAATGTAAAAATCACAAAATTTTTTTTAGACATATTGATTACTCTCCCATACTTATTTCTGTAAAAATGTTTATAAATTTTATAAAAATAAATAAAGCAAAACCTACTTTAACCAGGCGCATATATAATTGAATTTTGGATAAAAAATGTTACATGTTATTAATAAGCATTCAGTTTATGGGTGCCAAGTTTGGCAGGTTTTACTTTATAAAGTTTAGCTATTATGATGAACAAATTAAGATAGGGTTTATGCTAATTTGTATATTTTATAAATGTCAATTTATTAAAACAAATACAATACTTTTTATTTCATACTTTTATTTGTATGAAATTTTCATTTAAATTTAATCAAAAACTATTCATTTTTAAATAGAAACTTAAATTCAGTGCATTTATTATTGAAAAAATGCTAACGGGTATTTTTTATTTAAAAGTTTTTGTAAATTATTGTTTTTATTCAAATATCTTAGTTATAAATAGGAGTGGAGTGGCTTATATCAATAGTATTATGTCTATATTGATTTAGAAACATAAAACAATTATCTGTTAAATGAATAAATGAATAAATGCTTAAATTGTAATATTTTTTTTGAATGCTCATGCTAAAAGTTATAGTATGATTCATTCAAAATTATTAAAATTACATACAAAATTAATGATATAATTAATAAAATTTTGTAAAATCTCTACTTAAAATAATACAAAAAATTAATCAAAATACAAATAATATTTAGGATAAAAAGTAAATAAAAGCCGAATAAAATAACAATAAAACATCATTTTAGTAATGAATAAACATCTTTAATTTAAATCAATAGGCCATAAACAAGTCAAATCTTTCTTAAATGGATTAAAATCTTTTTACATTAATGATATTTACGAGTTATTCTAGCAAAGTAAAAGAAATAATCAATTATCAATAGCTATTTTTTGTATCTAATAGATAATGTTGATCTAGCTTCAAATAGATAATTAAACTTACAACGAATTAGCATCTGACAAAAAATTATTTTCACAGTTCGTTGGATATTTGTTTTTTTTAAAAGAATTAGCAGTTAAGTCTTAGAGCGAGATTATATTAACTGAGTAGATATTTTTTGGAATTAATTGCATCTGCTTAACTCCCTTTATTTTTACTGCTTTATTTCAAAGTAGAATTAATAAAGAGCGTTTTTATATATTTTCTTAGATATTTCAAAGCTATTAATTCTTGATAGCAATCCCTTCGTTTTACATCTCTCTACTATAATAGTAGAAATATTTATCACCATTAAATGTATTTCTCACAATTATAATTGGTAAATTCTTGCTTATTTAATAGTTTATTTTTAAATAAAATATTTTTTTGCTAAATTTTATTAGGATCACTGTTAGTGTCTTTAGATTATGATTACTCATTTTAAAATGAAGATATATTGCAAAAGAAAGATTCCCAGTTAAACAACTTAGAGTTTATCTTAGATCTGATAGTTTGTGTCTGTAGCTCTTTTTTTAGCATTTATACTATCATTTGTACTTCGCTATTTATTAATCTAATTAAAATAATTATTATTTTAAAGAGTCATATCTATATGAATTAGATGTTATGCGAAAAGTAACTTTAATTATGTTATTTAGAATATTTATAGCAATTACATTGATAGTTTATTAATTATTTGAGTAAAGCAAAGATTTGCTCTTTCTTATGTGGATAGTTTTACTGCCTTTGTCTTTTAAAATAGGGAAAATGATTAAAATGTAATGGTACAATTACATTAATTTAGAATGCACTTCAAATATGGATTAAATATCAAATTTTAGTTTATTTAGATTTATTATGAATGATAAAAACTAATTATTAGATATTTTTTGTAGATAAGTAGTTAATAACGCAACATAAAAATTAATATTTGCTTCTTAATAGAATTCAACAATATTTTTCTCTTAACAACTTTACTATTCTCAAAATCAGAAAGTATTAGATGAAAAAGACATAAAAAGCTAAAACAATAACTAAATCAATAAATAGCATCAAAAAGTAAAATTTTTATTTAATATAATATCAAATTTCCCATAATTTTATTAGTATTATTTTTTATTGTTCATTCTATGATTTTTATTTATTGATAAATTTATTTAAACATACAACAACAAAAAACATTTTTAAAAACTAAATTTATTGAAAAATTAAAAATTAAAAAAATAAATAGGTGATCAAAAATTATTTATAATTATTGCCAATATTTAAATTATTTTATTCAAATTAATAATTAATATGAAAATTTAGTAAAAAAATATTAGCTAAATTTTAAATTTACAACTCTCACTTATTTATTACATAATAATTAATAAAAAATATTTAAAGTAAAATAAAAATATTTTTTAATAAAATAAGTAGAAAAAAAAAAGTTCACAATCTAATGTAGAAGAAATGAACAAATATACTTTTCAATCTGCTCTTAATATCTAGACAATTAAATATTTATCTAAAATCTATAAAGAAGCTATTGATCAAAAAAGCTAGTTAGAAAGTCTAAGCATTGTTGATTTTTCTTACTTGACTCTTCTTGCTACAAAGTACCAAAATTCGTGTCTATCATATTTATAAGTATTAAATATTAACTAAAATAAAAATATCAAACTAAGCTTGAAGGATTAACAAAAATTAGTAGTAATAATGAAACTAATTAATTAATACTCAAAATTGAATAATAACATAATTAAAAAGGAAAAGGATTCGTTTTAGATTTAAAAAATTTTAGAATTTTAAAAATAAATTAAAAAAATAAATTTCAGATATAACCAATGCTTAAAGTAATACTAAGATATCATCAAAAAGCTTTCTTTTAATTTTATAGACATAAATGAAATATTCTTGCTTATGGAATAATATAGAGAAGAGAGAAACAGTTTAAAGGATTAAATTATTAATTAGTTAAGATACAACAGCAACGATTAAAGTCTAGAAAACCTTTGCTTAAAATTTGACTTCTACTTACTGCATAAAAACGAACTCGCTTAATACTATCAAAAGATGAATAGACAAATGACTATAAAATAAAAATATAAACATTTCTATAATAAATCTAGTTGTATAGCTTTTGTTTCACTGCTTGAAAATTCATTTGGTGTTGTTAAAAGTATTAATAAGTGTTTTTTGAAAACACTTGGTTTTTCAAAAAAATCTTAGATGATTAACAAACCTCTATAATAAATATTTCCTTTAAATCTTATCTAAAATATGTAATAAAATAAACTTAGTTCAATTATAGCTGAGGAATACTTATATTTCTATAATGATATTTTAGATATTCCTCTCTTTATAGCAAGAAATAGCAATGGATTTTCCTAGCCATTTCATGTTAAAATACAAAGCCAATTACTAAACAATGAAGATTTCGGACTAACTATTTGGGCATAACCAATCTAAGATAATAAAATTTATATAGTCTTAGATTATAATGATTTATCTGAAGTTAAGGTGCTTAGTGAAGCCTTCAAAGAAAAATTTATAAATGCAAAATTTGATCCTTAAAATTTAAAAAAAATCAGAATGGAATAATTTATCCCTATAATTGATGGTTTGGTTAAAAAATGTGAGATTGAAAATAAAAATAAAAGATTTGAAACAATTTTGATTAAACCTTAGATGAAAACTAATGAAAAATATTTGCCAAATTTAAATGATTTAAATTTCTTAAATTCCCTAAAATATTAGGAATTATATAAAATAACAGTTAATTTTCAGATAATTAAAACAAAAATAACATCTTTTGTTATAATGATTATAGATAATTATGTGCAGATATAGAATTATGCTGATAATATTAATTTAATTTAGTAATATCAGGAGTAGATTAAAGAAATTTGTGGAATCTCTTTGAATTTAAATCTCTTTAATTAAGAATATGAAGAACCCGTAAATAATAATCGTTTATTTAAAAACAATTAATTTCTTCATGAAAAATTGTATGATTAAAATAATAACCAAGAAAATGACCAAATAGAATTAGCAACAATAATTTAAAATCTTTAAACTAGCACAGTTAACTATTTAACAAGCTAGAGATATCGCAATGATAATGATGTACAAATGTCATAAACTAATAGATCATTGATAGATGCATAATTAAATTATTCAGAAATAGGTTAAACAGAAGAATTACAAAATACTTACTTTTCATATAGATAAAAAGATAGTAGAGACTCAAGATTAAAAAATAATAGCAATTATAAAGAAGATTAAAGCTAACTTAAATCTAAAGAAAAGAATTTTGGCAATTATAACAAAGAATCCAAAATCGATATTAAGTTAAGTTAAATTTAAAATAATTAATTTACTGATTTTTACTGTGAATCAAAATATGATTAAAGTTAATTACCATTTGAGAGCTAGAAGTTGTTTGAAGACTTTACTAAATAAAGATAAATTATAAATTCAAAAAATGAAAGTCAGATTTTAAATTAAAAAAAATAATAGAGCATAATGATAATTAGAGAAAAAGAAGATATAATGCATCAATCTTAAAATAATAATGATTTTTCTTTTTACTAAAATATCCTCAGTAATAATAAGCGATCCACTATAAATTAATTTATAATAAATAATTAATCCAACTTTTTTCAGCATAATTAAGAAAAAGGATAAAAAAATCAAACAACCCGATAAGAAATTTAATAATAATAGAACTAATTTTTAAAAAACTAAGACATCAATTCAGCTTCTTCATCAAGCTAATTAGTAGAGAACAAGTAAATATATTTTACTTTATCATAATTTTTAAATAAAAAATCCTAAAATCCTCATTAAGTAAAACCTAAAAAATATTCTACCTTAAAAATTATTGAAATGGCAAATAAAATTTTTTAATTTGGTCTTTGATATTTTTTGAAATAAACTCAATTTTATTAAAACTAAAAGGAAAATTAAATTTCAAAAATATTTTTATTTTTTATGGATATATATTAAAATTTATTAAATAAAAATTTTTTTTAACAAAAGAGAGCTATTTAAGCTGATAAATTAGAAAAAATAAGCAAGATACCTCAAAATTGTGAGATTATTTGCTCTAATATCCTTTTTATCAATTTTAATAATAAATGTTTACGGATTTTATATTTTTATTTATAATTTGACATCTTAAAGAGAGAATTTCAAATATATTGATTATATCTACATGGTAAATACGCAATTTAGCTATGCACTTTCAGAGAGAAATATTATTATAATGAACTAGAACAATCTTTTATTAACTCCTCCAGCCTAATAATAAATGTTTAATTAGTTATTGAATGAATAAAATGAATCAAGGATTAAGCTTAGTAAATAATACTTATAGTTTCTCTACAACAATACTAATCCTAACATACAAATATTTAACATTATATAGAACCAATACATAGAATAAAATATTTTTCATAATAGTGAGGATTCAGATTAGTACTAAATGTCCTTATTATATGCTATGCTTTTATAAACTTATGGAATATTTTATTTTGTATCAAATTTGGATCCAAATGAAATAATTAAAAATTAGAATGGAATAAATTACTCTTCAATTAATGATTTAGTTTAATCCATATTCGCACAAATCAGTAGCAAGTACCTTGATGAGCTTAACTAAATTTAAAGTTAAAATATTTTACAACTTTATGCCACAATATTAGTTACTTTATTTTGTTTGGTAAGCCTTATTCCAAGTTACGTTATAACAAAAATACAGTAGCAGAAAATTCTTGAGCTTTTTGCTACTTTAGATAGATAGATTCTTAAGGATATCTTAATAGATTTAAATTCTTAGCTCTTATTTCCCTAAGAAAAAACAGAAAAAGGAAAAAGTAAAATGGATAATTCAAAATCAAGCTATTCATCTTTAGAAGAAAGGCATATTTCTAAATTAAATCAAATAACGCCAGTTTACATAGAAAAAAAGTTAAATATCAGCAGAACTTCATCCTTGAAATATTCATTAAAGTTCTTTATTTTTGGATTGATTTTGATTTTTAGTTTGATTTCTATTTATCCTATTTCAAATTACATTTTAGTAAATAAATTTATAGAAAATTCAAAAATCATCTTCAATTTTAATAGTAAGTTAAACTTTTTCTTTTTTATATTAAATATTTTATAATATTTTAAAGATGTAGTTTGCGAGTCATCATTTGCTATATATAATTCTTTGAGGAACAGACAAGGGTTAGCAATAGCATTTTTGCTTCCTTCTTTATCGTTTTTGACTCCAATATCAAGCTTTTAAAGCAAATTTAATAAAACCACTGAATAGATTAATTAACTACCTAATTTAATTTAAGAAAATTTGTAAAAATTAAGTAATGGAAATATTTACAATTAATAGTCTTTAAATGATTATTTAATAAATATTTATACTGGAAATGCTTGTGATACGATGTCTAATTACACATAATATTAGGGTGGAGACTTTTTATATCAAATGTGTAATACTGCTGGTAAAGGATCTCTTTAAAAAGGATTGCTTAATGGTATTTTATTCTTTACTAGTATTTACAATGACTATTTATCATTTGCATTCAGTTAAAATGCTACCAGCTTTTAGAAGAGTTTCAACAAGTATAATCAGAATATCCCAGCTTACAAATAGTTTTAATTCAAAATAGAATTGTAAAAAGCACATGAATATCTCATGCGTTTCTTTTAAGATTAAAATCTTTAATTATACAATTACTATGAGAATATCATGATCATTTTGGTTTCAATTTAAATATGCTTTGTGATTATAGTTTTTATAATTAGCTAGCACTTTTATTTTAGAAATTTAAACAAAATTATTTTTTCTACAAAGCAACTGATAGATATAATTCCTTCATATTCTATATTAAAAAATACATATATTATGTCTTTTTTAAGAAAAAATTAATAATGAATCAATCATGCAAGTTTTTGTTCACTTCATGTTAGTTAAATGAATATTTTATTTACTTATATTTCTTTGTGTCTTTCTTATAATTAGTAATAATAATTATTATTTTATAATTTACTGAGCTTTATTTTGTTTCAATAAAGTAGAAATCTTTAAAAGTACAAAACTAAATTTGCTATATTTTATGATTTTTAAAATAAATATTTTTTAATGAAAATTAATTATAAATATATTTATATTCAAAAATATTGTGAATTGATATTAATTATATTTATTTTTTAATAGATAAAATAATCTATTAAAAATTATTTTTGATTTTAGCAAAATTATGTTTTAAATACTTTGATTTAATATTAAATAATTGATTATTTGTTAGATTGAAATATGATACCAGTTTTCTTACAAATAATAATAATTATTACTATTATTTTATATTTTAGTAAACTTTATTTCGTTTCAAAAAGTAGAAAATCTTTAAATTTATAAAACTAAATTTACTAATTTTCATACTATTTTTATTATAAATCTTTATTAAGGAAATAGTTAAGAGTAATTAATTGTTAATTAATTTAAATTGAAATAATATTATAAATATAATTAATTTTATTTATTTATTTTTATTTTAAACAAAATTAAGTTTTAAATTTTAATCAGAATGGATAAAATATTATTATTATTTTGAGTTACAATTAAAAAAAAAGTATTTTATTCATATACAAATATAATCTAAAATAAAATAGAATTTAATCAAAAAGACAAAAAATTTAGAGTCTAATTAAATAAAATAATAAAATTTAACTTTCAAATTTAAACCATATTCAATAATTTTAAATTTGGAAATAAAGTTAAAATATAATGAAAACGTTGATATAATTTAACTAAAAAAATCTTTTATAAAAAAAGAGTAAATTAGACTAACAATAAAATTAATAAATTTATAAATTAATTATAAGAATTATGTAAAAAGTATTTGTGTAAATTCATGATAATTTATCTAAATAATGTTTATATTTACTGAATCATTTTCTTTTAATTAATGAATTAATTTTTATATAGATAGATATAATGTTAATATATACGTTAGCAAATTAACAAATCTAATTACATATAAAAAACAAAAATTAAATTTTCTTTAGTAATTTAATCTTGAAAAAACTTTTTCTAGAGTTTTTAAAATGGATCCAAGAGATACATACTTCCATATTATTTTTAATTCCATAAAATGTTATCTTTTTATTTAATTAGCTAAATATTCAATTAAAATGTGTAAAGTAGTTATTAAAAATAATACATCTTTTCTACTTTTTAAAAAATAGAGTAAATTGTGTAAGCTTAATTTACTTTACCATAATTATTTTTAAATTACACTTTCTGAAAAATCCTTTTTTTCTTAAAGATATATCTTCTATAATCATTTGATTTTACTTAACTTTGATTTTTTTTTCAAAAATTTAAAATGTAATATTTAAAAAGTATTTTAAACTTTAAATTGAGCAACTATTCTTTGTCAAATAACGATTTGCTCTTAATCGCAAAACTTATTATCGAAAAAAAAAAAAGTTAATTTTTAAATATATTTATAACTGATAGAAATCAAGAGAGAGAGAGCTCTGATAGTGGTTGAATGATGAATGAATAATAACTTTTTTTTAAGATAAATTTATAATTTTTTGTATTTTTTAATGATTACTGATCATAAATTTTAATAATTTCATGTATTATTTTTTCTAAAAATGGAAAATGACATTAATTTAAATTAAAATCCCAAGGAAACTAAAAAATTAATAAATAAAAAGATTATCATACTTAGGTTTTTGCAATTTTTAATAAACATTTATCACATAAAGAATTTAGGTTATAAAAAATGCATTCATTGGTATAGAGATTTAAATCTTACTATGTTTAGGATCTTTATTAGTTAGTGAAGTAAAGCAAAAGAAATCCTTATTACTCAGTTATAATTTTTTGCTTTCATTAAATTGTACTAGTTTAGCTTTAAATTGATAATCAGACATACAATGAATTAGCTTCAGATTAAAAAACATTTTCAAGTTTTATTGGTTATACTTTCTTTTTGAAGGAAATAGCTGAGAATTAATAAAACTAAATATTTTTAGTTACTAAAATATTCTTTTTTATTAACTGTTTTACTGCTTGCGTTTTATTTTTCTCTGCTTATTTCTCTGGTAGAATTAAAGAAGGTTTTTTAGATGGCATGTCTTTTATGTTTTAGAGCTATTCATATTTGATTGCTCTACCATCTTTTTACATATCGCTCTTATCCTATCAATAATTGCTTTCTCTAATAAATATTTCTCTCACTTTTGCAATAGGTAAAGTGTTTAATTTGAATGTATTTCTTTAAAATTGCATCAATATTTTTTAATTTTTAAATAGGATTACTTATAGTATCTCTTGATTATGATTATTCTTTTTCAAATGAAGATATTCTATAAAAGAAAGATTCTCTCTTGAATTTAACTGAATTTGTTTTAGACTTTATCCTTTGTATAGGCAGTAGCTTTTTAGGTATTTAAAGTATTAATGTCTTTTCAATAACGATTAATTTTATTAAATTGTTAATCTATTTTAAGAGCCATAACTATCTAAACATGAATATATACAGATGGCTGATTATCTTAAGCTTTTTTAAATTGTTTTTGTCTATTTCGCTTATCTTCTTTCATCTAAATGGTTTTTAAAAAGACTTAATACTTTTTACTGTTATCATTTTAATGCCATTAAGTTTTAAGTTAGGGAATACTGTTTCAATATAAATAAATAATTATATAAATTTAGAGTCTAATTCAATTAATTATTAAATAACAAATTCCACTATACTCAGAATGATATTCCTTGATAAAAGTTAATAATTGGATATTTTTTGTAGATAACTTATCAATAATTTGAAATAAAAATTAGTCTTTTCTAATCAAGAAAATTCTACTATTTTATTTTCTTAGTACATTTATTATTAAGAAAATCAATGCGTTAAAATGCAAGATCAAAATTCAAAAAAAATGACCTCATCATAGCAAAATGTATTTTTTTAATAAATAATTTCTTGTTCATTTTAATAAAAATAATTTTATTTTTTTAATTTTTAAAAGAAATTGAAGAAAAAAACGAAGGAGTTTGATGAAGGATAATGTGAAAAAGAAAATATTTAAATTATCTTTAACTTAAAAGTTATTCGTAAAGTAATGAAAATTTATTAAAATGAAATAGATTAAAAAAAAATAAAAGACAGATTAAATAATCTTGATTTTTCTTACTTAGCTCTTCTCTCTACTACGTATTAATACTAGTCTCTTTCATTAATAAAACTAATCAACATTAGCTTAAATAAAAGTATAAAACTTAGTTGGAAAGATTAGCAAAAGATTGAGGCACTAAAAAGATGCGCAAATGCTTAATAACATTTTAGCATTCAAAAAAATAAAAAGGATCACAATTTATTAAACATCTACGAAATTTTAGAGAGCTAATAAAAAATAAAAATAATAAACCAAAAATATCTTAATTGCTTATAAATGTATTAAATTATTATTTAAAATTTAACATTGAGTTATATTGATATTAATGACATTTATATGCTAATTACTTAATACAGAGAATAGATAAATAAATTAAAAGAATTGATCAATTGTTAGTTAAAATTGAATAGTAATGATTAAGATATTAAAAATATTTGCTTAAAATTTGATATTTTTATGAGCAATCAGAAATTCTTTTCCACATTTTATTAAAAACAAGAGAAATTAAATAATAATAATAATAATAATAAGCATGCTTAAATTGAATCAAGCAGCATAGCATTTATTTCTCTTCTTGAAAATTCTTTTGGAGTGATTAAAAAAGCAAATTAAACTTTTTTGAATTCACTTGGTTTTACACCATAAATGATTGGTCAATCTATTTTATAGGTTCTTCCTTCAAACATTTTAGAAAAAAAACTTTACAGCAAGGTTATTTAACAAATTGCTTAAGATTTAATATCAAATAAAAACAATATAATTGAAATACCTCTTTTTGTTATCAGAAATAATCAAGGTTTTTCTCAACCTTTTTAAGTGAAGCTATAAAGTCAAAGTGTAAACTCAGAGGATTTCGGATTAGCTATTTAAGCAAATTTTATTCATGATGATTAAATTTATAATGTTTTAGATTACTAAGACCCATCCATAATAAAAATTATGAGTAAATAATTTAAAGAAGAATTTATCATAGAAAATTTTGGTGAATAGAATTTAAATGTAATTAGAATGGACAGTTTTGTTCCAATTATAAATGATTTAGTTAAATTAACTGAATTGTAATAAATAAAAAAAATTGAAACTATCATGATTAAACCTTTAACAAAAACAGAAGCCTTGATGAAGCCTAATTTAAGAGACCAGAATTTTTTAAATAGCTTAATTGACTCATAAATGTATTTAATAACTGTATCTTTTTAAGTGATCAATACAAAGTTAGCTTAATTTGTTAACATGGTTATCGAAAGCTATAGCCAAGTGAACAGTATGAATAATAAGATTAATTGTATCAACTTATATCAAAAGTAAATCAAAGATATAACTGGTATAGAATTAAAATTTGATTAGAATTACAAAAATAATTTGAAATAAGAAGTCTCATAAATTACTTTCGATTAATTAGATTTACCTTAAGATGATAATAAAAACTACATCAAATTTAAACTGTAAAATGAAAGAAATGAGTCAACAACATACATTTAGCAATATTAAAACAGTACTATTAATAACATTTCAAGGCTAATTGAATATAACGATTTTAATGAACTGTCTAAATGTTAAACAAAGGTATCTTTTATTGATGTACAACCTGAATCAATTGATAAAGATAAGCAAACAAATTAATAAAATTTATTATTTTAGAATTTCAATTTGGAATAAAGATAATATTGCAATTCATAAGCTAAAACAGAAAATTAGATCAATTTTTGTTATAATGATAAAAAAGAATTTTCATAATCAGATTAAAGAGTAGATTTTATACAAAAATTAAACTCTTTTAATGAGTTCAACACGAATGAAATAAACTTATTTAATGATAAAAAGGTAGAAAATAGTAACAATAATTTGCTTATTAATTTTTTTAGTTCGGGTAATACTTTAGACTATGATGGAAATATTAACAAAATTTACTTTGAAAACTAAAATATAATCAAATAAGATTTCATTAATTAAAATTAAAATGCTTGCTCAAATAAAATAAATAAATAATCGGGCTAAATAAAAAGCAAATAAAGTGTAGACAATTAATAATTGTAATTAAAGAATGAAACAAAATTAGCAAAAAAACCAAAAAAAATGTTTTTTAGTTTTATAGATAATTATAAATAAATTAATTAAGAAATTTAATCTGTTACTTCATCAACTAAAAGCGTTCAAAACAAGTAAATATTTTTTAATTTAATTATTAAAATTTTTTGTTATTAATCAAAATAAATACCAACATTTATTTTTATAACTAACTCTGCTTTACTCTTTTATTTAATTTCACTTTTTTTTAAAAATATTTAGGCAACTATTTGATTTTATTAATTAAAGTAATCAAATTAAATATCTAAAAGTTATTAATTTACTTGGAATTGTCTGTATTTTATTAATCTTGGGGATAACTTTATATCATTTCTTAGATTTTTCTTAAAGTTTAATAACCCAAAGAGATAATTTCAGGTACATAAATTGGATTTATATGGTAAATGTTCAATTCAGCTATGCTCTTTCTGAGAGGAACATCATTTTACTCAATAGATATTAAATGCTTTCAACTCCTACTTCTTAAAATGAAGCTTTTATTGAAATACTCAGCGAATAAAATAACTCTAGAATCAGTTTAAGCAAACAATATCTTCGTCTTTTATATAACAATACAAATCCTAATATTGAAGTATTTAAGATCATACAAAATTAGTACATTCCTTAAAATTTAATTGATAATAAATCTACTTTTAGATTATTTAATTTTTCAATGCTGTATTCTATGATGATGTAGACTTATGGAATATATTATTTTGTCTCAGAAAAAGATTCAACGGGAATAATTAAACAATAAAATGAAATAAATTATTAAGCCTTAAATGATTAAGTATAAGTTATATTTTCTTAAATGAATGATCAATATGCAAATTAGCTTAGTTAAATTCAAACTTAAAGCCTTTTTTAGCTTTATATTACATTATTTGCCAGTTTCTTTTGCCTAATTAGTGCTATCCCAACTTATATTATAGTAAAAATTAAATAACAAAGAAATCTAGAACTCTTAGCTACTTTCGACAGAGAGAGTCTAAAATTACTTTTATAAGATTTGACTGAATAAATTTACATTTTTTAAGAATCTGATAAATAGAATTAATTACAATAATCGAAATTCAACTTTGAAAACCAAAATAATAAAATTTAATTAAACAAATTACTTTAAACTGGTTCAATTCACCTAGAAAAAAAATTAAATATAAGCAGAACTTCACATTTAAGATACTCATTAAAATATTTAATATCAGGATTAATATGTTTATTTGGTTTAGTTTCAGTATTTCCTATAACAAATTAAATTTTAGTGAATCAATTTATTGATAACTCATAAATAATCTTCAACTTTAACAGTAAGTTTTTTATCTTTTTTTTGAAATATATTTGGAAAGTTATTTTTAAATAAATATAGATGCAGTTTGCTAATCTTACTTCTTTATATTGAATTCACTTAGAGCTAGACAAGGCCTAGCAACAGCTTTTCTTTTACCATCTTAGCAATCAATTTCAATTTAGACATTTTAAAATATGTTAAATTAAATGACTCAACAAGTTAATCAATTACCAGATTTAATTTAAGATAACTTAAAAAAAATAGAATAAAAAAATATTTACAATAAAGATATATTTAATAATTTCTTGTTGAATGTTTATAAAGGAAATGCTTGTGATACTATTTCAAACTATACATAATATCAAAATGGAGATTTTCTTTAAAATTAGTGCAGCACTGTAGGCAAAAGTTCTCTATAAAAAGGATTACTAAATAGCTTCATATTTTTTACTAACATTTATATGGACTATATGAATTTTGCTTTTAGCCAAAATTCCACTGCATTTAAATAAAGGTTTGATGAATATAATAAAAATATTCCAGCATACAAATAATTTTAATTCAAAATAGAGCTATCAAAAATACATGAGTATCTTATGAATTTCTTTTAAGATTAAAACACCTAACTTTACAATTATTATGAAAATGTCACAATAATTTTAGTAGTAGCTTAATTATTCCTTCTGATACTAATATTTATTGTCATATGGTATTTCTTTATTAAAAAAATAAGCTTACTGCTCATTTCAACAAGACAGCTTTTCAATGTTTTTCCTTATCATATAATATTAAAAAACACCTATATTATGTCTTTCTTAAAATAAAGCAAATGAATAAGAAATTTAAATAAGTTTAAATTTGTCTGATTGCCAATCTAATGAATTGTTTGTTTTATTTCTAAATATAGTACTAACAGATTTTAAATTTATAAGGATGTGGAAAAGTAAGAATTTGATTCCTGTAGTTGCTTTTAATTAATTAAAAAATAAATTATTTTATTTAATTTTTATAAAAAAATCTTTATTTATTATTTAATTTGAAAATATAAATTCAAACATGATATTATTGTAGATTTTTATTAAAAATATATTTAACAATTTTAAAACAAAATGTTAATTATTAAATTATTAAATAAATAATTTCTAAATTCTAGAAAATTATTAAAAATTTTGAAATATTTATGCAAAATTTTTTTTTTTGCATAAACAAAATTTGAAAAAAATATTTATTAAAAAAAGAAGAAAATATTTTTAACTATTTAATAAATTTTAGATAAAAATTTATTAATATTGTTTTTAATTTGCGTTATTATTAATTAGATCACTTTTAAGTAAAAATGAGTCATAATTAGTCATAATGACTAAAAAAATGACTAATAATGTCACATAATGACTCATTTTTGCCTTGTAATTTCTAATTTATGACTAATTTCTGTCAATTAATAATCTATTATCACTAATTTATGTCCAATTTATGTCAACCAATGATCTATTATCACTAATCTTATATAAAATATATGTAATTTATTGTTAAATTATTAATAAAATTAATCAATTACTGTATACTATTTTAATTCATAAGATGGTTTGTTTAAAGAAATTAAGAAAAACATATAAAATAAATAATAAATTGCCAAACCAGTAAGTGCATTTAATTAATTATTTTTGCTTTAATTATTTTTTTAACTTCAAAAAAAAATAGTAATTGTTCATATATTTATATGACATTAAGAAGCAGTTAAAATTCAGTAAATTATTAAATTCTTAGGTAATAAAAGTAAGGTAGATAGATAGATAGTTATTTAGTTAGTCTCTTTTTTGACTCTTTATATTCTGTAAAATAGATAAGTTAAATGAAAACAAATTCCTTTGTTATAAAACTAAAATAATATTATATTAAAGTTATCTATTAGTTAGTCAAATAAAGCAAAAGAAATGATAGTTTTTCCATTTTAGCTTTTTGTTTTCATTAATTTGTACTAATTTAGCTTTAAATAGATAGAAAAACATATTAAGAATTGGCATCAGATTAAAAAATATTTTCATCTTTAAAGACCTATTTATTATTTCTGAATGACTTTGCAAGCAATTAATAAAATGGTGTCTAATTAGTCATTTAGATATTATTTTCCTTAAATTGTTTTATTGTATTATGCTTGGTTTATTCTGCTTTTTTCTAAAGTAGAACTAAAAATTTGTTTTTTTAAATAATTTCCTAAATTCTTCAAAGTTATTAGTATTTGATAGCTCTACCGTCATTTTACTTTTCTATCTAAAGCTACCAATAAGCTTTACCTCTCATGAACATCATGCTAACATTTATTATAGGTAGAATATTCTTATACTTTTGTTTAATATAATTTTTTTTTTCTTTGAAAAACTAAATAGGATCATTATTGGTGTCTCTAGATTATGACTACTCCTTTAATAATGATGACATCCTATAAAAAAAAGATTCATACTTCAATTTGACAGAGTTTTATTTAGATATAGTCTTGTGTGTTGCTTGCTACACTTTTGAAATCTACGTAATGATTTTTACTTCATTTTTGCTTAGTGTTCTTAAATTATTAATAGTTTTAAAAAACCATAACTATTAAAGCAAGAATATAACAAGATGGTTAATTATTTTAGGAATTTTCAAAACACTACTGCCAATATCGCTATTAGTGTATTATATAAAAAATTCTTAGATAGATCTTTTGCTATTAATTGTAATTATTTTAATGCCGCTGTCTTATAAACTAGGAGATTCTCTTTCAATAGAATGGTATAATTACATAAACATTGAATAAGGTTCATATAATAATTAGATAAAAAATACAAGTCCATTTAAAATTATATTGAATGATAAAGTATAAATAGTTGATATTTTTTGTAGATAATTAGTAAATAACACTAAATAAAAATTGGTCTTCTTTAATTAAGGAACTTCTACTATTTTATTTTCTTCATAGATTTACTATTCAGAGAATTAATAAAACAAGGACAAGGACGAATTATTTCACAAGGAATCTAGATCTTCTTAATCTAAAGTAAATTTATAATGTATGTGTATTAGAATGATAATTTATTTTTTTTAATTATTAAAGAAATAAAGAAAGTCAAATATTGAATTTGAAAGTAAAGAGAGCGAAAGAGAAAATAATTAGAGGATCTTTAATTTAAAAACTATTAAGAATGTGATGAGAATTTACGAAGATGCTATAGATTCTAATGGATAGAAAAAAACTTTGAACACTCTAGATTTTTCTTACTTAACTCTGGTTTCTATTGCTTATCAAAATTAGTGTCTTTCGCTTTTAAAAATATTAAACACTCACATAAATTCAAGTGTTCAACTAGGTTGGAAAGATTAGTAAAAAATTGAGACATTATTTAGCTGTGCAAATGCTCAAATTGATATTGAAAATAAAAATAATAAAAAAGAAAACAACCACTAATTCTAGATACATAAAATTTTAGAATTATAATAAACAATAAAATAAATAAATAGAAAATATTTTATATGTTTAAGATAATATTAAATAGTTATACAAAAGCTATCAATGAATTTTATAGATATTAATGATGCCTTCCTTCTTATGAATTAATACAGAGAGTAAAGAAACTAGTTGCAGAATTTACTTGTTTAATAATTACAAATCAATAATAATAATGAAACTCTGAAAGATTTATGTATTAGATTTGATTTTTACTTGCTTCATAAGTAATATCTTTCAGCATATTGTGAGAAAATAAATAGACAAAGAAGTTTTTAATAGAAATACACAGAATTTTAGAGTGAACAAAGCTGCTTGGCATTTATTTCTCTTCTTGAAAACTAATTTGGTATTGTTAAAAACGCCAATAAATGGTTTATAAAGACACTTGGGTACACGAGCAAATCCTAAGTAATTGGTAAACCAATTTTTTAAATATTCCCTTAAAAGCTTTTATAAAAAGGGTTATATTCCAAAATTATTTCACAAATTACAGAAAACTACATTCGAAAATATAATGAAATTGTTGAGATACCTCTTTTTATTGCTAGAAATAATTAAGGATATTCTAAGCCATTTTAAGTGAAAATTTAAAGTCAAATGATAGACTCTCAAGATTTTGGATTGGCAATTTGGGCTCAACCTATTAATGATGATAATATTTACTTGGTTTTGGATTATAAGGACCCCTCCAAAATAAAACTGATGAGTAGGAAATTCAAAAAATTATTCCTCAAAAATATTGATTCATAAAACTTAAAAATGATGAGAATGGACAGCTTTGTTCCAATTGTTAATGATTTAATTAAAATAAGCGAAAATTAGTAAAACAAAAAATTTGAAACTTTACTAATTAAGTATGAAATGAGCACTGAAGCTTTGATGAAGGTTAATTTATAATATCCGAATTTCTTGAACTCACTTATGGATTCATAAATCTTTGTCATAACAGTGTCATTTTAAATTTTTAAAACTAAAATTGCATCGTTTATCAACATGGTAATTGAAAGTTACTCGCCTCTCAAATCATTTAGTAGTAAGATCCACCATATCAAATAATATTAAACGCAAATTAAAGAATTATGTGATATAAATTTAAAATTTGATCTAGATTATTAAAAAGAAAATATATTGAAATAATAAAATTTTTTGTTAAATTCTGAATACTTAATTGGAGACACAGAAACCAATTTATTCAGATAGAAATTTGATAACAGTGAGCATGAATCAACAACCACTAACTTGTAAAATCTTTTATAAACTTCTGTGTATTATAATTTAAGTTAGAGGAATCAAGATATTGTTAGTACAATAGAATAATAAAGCTCTTTATCTCCCAGACGCTTTATTGATAATACTTTATAACACTATCCATAATAAAGTGAAAGAGATTCTATTCTAAACCAGTAATCTCCATAAATTTAGAATTCTGTGCAACATTCAAAATTTTATACTTAAAAAATGAATGATTCTAAATGTATACTTGACTGCAGCAAAGAAGCTTCTCCATAAAACAATTAAAGAGGACTTATTGATTTTAGTTAGACAATAAATAAACTTAAGAGATTTGATGACCAAAGCAAGCTCGAAATTAATTAATAAAGCAAAATAAATTAGAGCGAAGATTAATTTTAAGATTTTAGTATCAATTAAACACACAGAAGAGCTAATACATTAGAGTTTTACAACAACAATCAAATCTCATTCACACCTAAGCAAAAATAAATTTAATAAGATTAAAACAATATAGAAAACTCAAATTAATAACTTTTATAAAATAAAATGCCTTAATAAAGTAAATAGCCTGCTCTTAAATAGCATTTATAGTAGAAAGATGCAAAAAACAAAAGAAAAATTAAAGAATTGTTTCCTACTCAAGAAAAGCAAATATAGTAAAATTAAGATGCTCAATCTGTTTCTTCATCTGTAAAAAGTGCTCAAGATAAGTAAATAAAATAAATTTCTTTCTATTTAACAACCGTTTTTATTTTAATTTAAAAACAAGAACTTTATCAAATACTTCTTTATTTTTCTTTTTTCAAAATTCAAAATGTTTGTTTGTTTTGTACAATTTTTGTGAAATAAAATATCTCATTTTTCCTATTTAAAAATACAAATAATCATTCATACTAAATCTTAAATAAGAAATAAATTCTTAATAAAGCATTAAAAAACAAGTTATTTCCATCCATTCATCCAAATCAGCAAATTTCATCAATATACCAAAATAACAAATAAATAGATTTTATCATAATACAATGATTAAAATTTTTTTTTAATGTATGAATAAAGAAGTAAATACAATAATTACTATTAAAATTTTATAGAATTATTAATTAATTTTAATTCAAAGAAAATTATTAATCAATTTCTCCAAAAAAAAAATTTGGAGATATTTTATTGTCACTGCACAGAAAAAATGAGAGAACACTGATCTTCTGAAATAAAAATAAATAAATAAACCTTATCAAAAAAACCATTTAAATTATAAATAAATAAATAAATACAATATTATTTTCTGCCACTTGACAGAAAAAATGAGTAACAGATACTATTGTTAATACATAGATAATTAATTAATTAATTAATTAATTAAATAAATAAATAGATAATTAAATAAATATATTTGTGATAAATTAACGATTAAAATTAGTAAAAATATGAATAAAGAAATAAATACAATACTATTAATTTTTTATAGAATATTTTTAAAATAATTATTATTCAATTTCTAAGAAAAAACATTATGAGGTATTTTATTGTCTTCACAAGACAGGAAAAATGAGTGAGCGAGTATTGATCTACTAAAATAGCAAATATAATTTATAATAAATAAATAAATTAATAAAAACCTTTTTTATTATGAATTTAATTTTAATTTTCTCTGATTAATTTTTTATAAACGTAAATTAGGTTGTTATTTGATATGATTTACTAAAAGAGGTAAATTAAATCCCTTAAATTTGTTAATATGCTTGGAATTATTTCTTTGTTAGTGATTGTGACGATAACACTATATGAATTTCTTCAATTTTATTTTAGCCTTTCTTCTTAAAAGGAAAATTTTAAATTTATAAACTGGATTTACATGATTAATATTCAATTAAGTTATGCACTTTCTGAGAGAAATATAATTTTACTAAATATAAATAACCTGTTATCAACTCCTGCAGCTTAAAATTAACCATTTTTATAATTGCTTAAAGAGTAAAACGATTCAAGAATTAATCTAAGCAAATAATATCTTCTACTTTTATATAACAACACTAATCCAAATATCTAAGTATTCAATATCATTTAAAACGAATACATTCTCTAAAATATATATTTCAACAAAACATACTATAGCTCATATAAAATGTCCATGCTTTACTCTGTTGTTATGCAAACTTATGGAATTTATTATTTTGTATCTAACAAAGATCCAACAGGAGTTATTAAATAATAGAATGAGGCAAACTATCAAGCACTTAATGACTAAGTGTAAACTATATTTTCTGAGATGAATGACGCATATGTAAATTAACTTAACTAAATTTAAAATTAAAGCACTTTTCAGCTATATGCTACAATATTTATTAGCTTTTTTTGCTTGCTAACTGTAATACCAAGCTACGTACTCATCAAAGTTAAGCAGCAAAAAATATTAGAGCTTTTTGCTACTTTGGATCGACAAAATCTTTAAGAGATTTTAAAAGATTTAAATTACCAACTTTCGTTTTGTAAAGGTTTTAATGATAAAAATGAGTTATTAGAATCAAAATCAAGTCTTGAAAGTCAAGGAGCATTAAATAAAACCAATAAAATAATGTAAAATGCACCTATTTTAATCGAAAAAAAATTAAATATCAGCAGGACATCTCATTTAAAATACTCCTTAAAGTACTTAGTATTAGGACTTGTGAGTATTTTCTGCTTGATTACTGTTTATCCTATAGTAAACTATTTGCTCATTAATCAATTTGTTGCTAATTCTACAATAATCTACGACTTTAACAGTAATTTTTTTTCGTTTATTATTATTTAAAAAAATATAATTAATTAATTAATATAATAAAGATGTTGTATGTCAAACTTACTTTTTCATTTTGAATTCTTTGAGAGGAAGGTAAGGTTTAGCTACAGCATTTTTGCTACCTTCTTAGCAATCGGTTTCAATTAACACATTTTAAAAGATTTTGAGTTCAATGATGACTAATGCAAATTAATTGCCTGATTTAATTTAAGCTAATATAGGAAAAATAAGTTCTACAAACATACTCAATAAAGACATATTTAATAATTATTTAGTAAATGTTTATACAGGAAATACATGTGATATTATTTCAAACTACACATAGTATTAGAACGGGGACTTTCTATACAATTAATGCACTACTGTAGGTAAAGGATCTTTACTTAAGGGATTACTTAATGGCGTTCTTTTTTTTATAAGTATATATAAAGATTATATGACATTTGCTATGAGTTAAAATGCCACATAGTTTTAATAAAGTTTTAATAAGTATAATAAAAACGTTCTTGCAATTAAATAGTTCTAATTTAAAATAGAATTATCTAAGGATCATGAATATCTTCTGAATTTCTTTTAAGATTAAAATTCTCAACTCTACAATTATTATGAAAATATTTCAACCATTATAGTAATAATTCAAATAATCTTTGTCATTTTACTCTTCACAGTATGTTGGCGAATATATTTTTATAAAATCAACAAGCTCATTATTTCTACAAAACGCCTACTTGATATATTTCCTCGTTAAGCTATCTTAAAAAATACCTATATAATGTCATATTTAAGATAAAATGAATGAATAAAGATAAGTTATTGTAAATAACAAATATGCAACTTTATATTAAAAATAAGGTTATAAGGTAGGTAGGAAATCAATTACATATGTATTAAATTTATTTAACATATACAAATCATGGCATCATTAATGTTTAGTTGGTGATAATTCAAATGCATGAACAACTATATTTTAATATCTTAATTGATATTTTATAAATTATTTTATTATTCATAAGTACAAAATTTGTATCATTTACATTTTAATAAATTTATACATCATTTCTATCAATAGTTAAATGTATAAAATATTATGCTTAAATAACAATATTTTTACATAAATATTATCATTGTTTGGTTATTCATTTATTTATATTATTATATATAAAGTACTAATTATTAAATGTAATAATTAAAATACATATATCACTAATTATTTATAAAGAATAAAACTGAATAATGTAAGAATGAGCTCATTTAACTTTACAGTTGATTAATATTTTAAATCATGCATTCATTATTAATAATTAAATATTTTTATAATGAATGAACTAAAACATCCATTTTTTAACTTGAATTTTTCTATTTTTTGCTTGTTGCAAATATACAATTCTGACAAATGACAGGTTTAATGATTTCTTTTAAAGTAGATATTAATTAAGGGTTCGTTAAAAAAAAATAAACTTTATAACTATAATAATTAACAAACAATTAACTAACAAACTAACTAACTGTTTATTTTTAAGCAATATTTGTTTAGATTTTAATTTAGCAGTCGAAAAAATCAACAAACAAATTGATGATAAATAAGAAAAGTATTAATAAAATAATGCATTTTGGTAAATATATATCTTTACTAATTATATTTTCTACTTAGTACTTTATTTATTTTCAATTACATATCATTATGATTTTATAAATAAAAGCAATAGTTAATTAAAAAAAGAATAACAAGCAATTTAAATAATTTAATCAAAATAGGTGAAAAGACTTTTTTGAATTCTGCATTTATCTTAAAAAACCCATTAAAATGAAGCAAATTTAGTTTATTAATAAATTCAAGTCTTATTATATTAATGATTTGCATTAATTAATCAAGTAAAGCTAAAGGAATAACCATTTCTCGATATTAATATTTATATTTCATTAATTTGTATTAATTTAGCTATAAGTAGATCAACAAACATATAATGAATTAACATCTGATAAAAGAATATTTTCATAATTTATTGCTTATTTCTTCTTTTTAAATGGAATATTAAGTAGCCAATAAAGTAACATATCTTAACTAGTTGAAATATTTTTAGCAATAAACTGTTTTATGATAATATTTTTGATTTTCTAAGCTTTCTTCAAAAGTAGAATTAAAAAAGAGCTAATCTTTATGATTTCGCATATAATGCAAAGCTATTAATATTTGATTGCTCTACCATCTCTCTATATTTCTATGCAAAGCTATTAGTAAGTATCATCATTAATAAACATAATCCTTACATTCACCATAGGTAATATTAAATATTAAAGACTAAAATAAATCATTTTTAAAAAAAACTAAACAGGTTCATTGATAGTATCTATAGATTATGACTATTCATTTGATAATAAAGATATCCTATAAAAAAAAGACTCTCACTTCAATAGTATAGAATTTTAATTGGACTTTATTCTAAGTATTAGTAATTAGTTTTTGGATATTTATATGATTGTGGCTTTTTCATTTGTACTTAATGCTATTAAATTATTAATTATTTTGAAAAGCCATAATTATTTAAATAAGAATATATGCAAATGGTAGATCATTTTAATTAATTTTAGAGGTTTGTTCCCAATTTCGCTTATTGTATATTCTTTAAATAAATCTTAAAAAGAATTATTGTTATTAATAATAATAATTTTAATGCCTCTATCTTTTAAGATAGGAAATACCCTTTTAGTCCAGTGGTATAATTACATTAATATTGAATGCATTTCAAATAAAATTTAAATGTAAAACTTAAGCGCATTTAAATTTATATTAAATGACAAAATCTAATTAATTGATATTTTTTGTAGATAATTATTAAATAAAACCAAATCAAAATTATCTTTTTCTAATCAAGAAACTTCTACTATTGTATTTTCTTCTTATATTTACTAGTAAGAAAATTAGTCATTCAAAGGATAAATAAACCCTGAACAGGATCCTTCCTCTACTTTGTCTAAGGTAAACTTAAATAATATCAATTTTCATTTTATTTTCATAAAAAATATTTTAAAAATAAAATAATTTTAAATTAATTAAAAGAAAGGATTATTTGTTGAAAAAGATGATGAAATAAGCGAAAAAGAAAATTTTTAAATTACGTTTAATTTAAAAGCAGTTAGTAATATAATGAAAATATATTAAAACGCGATCGAATAAAGAGGAAATTAACTAGCTTTGGATACTCTAGACTTTTCTTATTTAACTTTAGTGTCTACTGTCTATTAAAATTAGTGTCTTTCACTTTTGAAAATATTAAATACAAGCTAAAATACAAGTATTCAACTAAGTTGGAAAGATTAGTAAAAAATTGAAACAATAATGAGACGCGCAAAAGATTAAATTGAAATTAGTAAGAAAAGAACTAAAAAAGATCATAATTAATTTCAGATTTACACAATTTTAGAATAAGATTAAAAAATAAAAGAATTATAGAGAAAGTATTTTGAATGCTTAAAGTAATATTAAATAGTTATTCAAAAATTATCAATGAATTTTATAGATATAAATGATATTTACAATATAATGACTTATTACAGAGAACAAAGAGCCTTATTAAAAAATGAAATGATCATATAAATAGAAAACAATTGTAATAATAATATCCTTAAAAATCTATGTGTTAAGATTGACCTTTATTTACTTCATAAGTAATGTTTATCGTTGTATTAGAAGAAGCTGAATAGGCCAAAAGGTACTTAATAAAAATATACTTAATTTTAGAGCGAAACATCTTGTCTCGCATACGTTTCTCTTCTTGAAAATTAATTTGGAATTGTTAAAAATGCTAATAAATATTTTATGAAAATCCTTGGAATCACAAGCAAGTCACAAATAATTGGTTAACCAATATTATCATTTTTTCCATAAAATATCATATAAAAAAGATTATATTCCAAGATTGTTTCACATATTACTGAAAAATATTTTCCAATATACAATGAAGTCATTGAAATACCTTTAGTCCTTATAAAAAATAACCATGGATATTCTTAACCATTAAATGTTAAATTTCAAAGCCAAATAATAAATTCAGAGGATTTTGGATTGACTATTTGTGCAAAACCTATACTTGATGACAAAATTTACATGATTTTGGATTATAAAGACCCATCTAAAATAAAATTGATGAGTAAAGCTTTCGAGTAAGAATTCTTTTCAAAAAATTTTAATTCATAGAATTAAAAAATAATAAAAATGGATAGTTTTATTCCTATAATTACAAATCTCATAAAAGTAAGTGAAAAGTAGCAAAATAAAAAATTTGAAACTTTATTGATTAAGCATGAGACAGAATCTCTAATTTAGTATAATTTAAGCTCACCTAATTTCTTAAATACACTTATGTAGTCATAGCTATATTCTTTAATGATATCTTTTTAAATTTTTAATACTAAATTAGCATCTTTTGTTTACATGATAATTGAAAACTACAAGTATATAGATTGTTTAAGAGATAAGACTCAATACATTTAATAATATCATACATAAATTAAAGAATTATGTGGTGTAAATTTAAACTTTGATTAGCAAAATAATTATGAAGAAACACACCAAAAAATTTAGTTAAAAGCATCAGAATTACTTTTAGACAGTGAAAGGATGAATCATAGATAAAAAATACTTGAAAATAATTAAAATGAAACGAATATTTATATTTAAAATATTTAAGATATCTCTTCTTATAATATTTAAACTTAGAGACATCAAGATATGAATACTACATTTGAATTACATGATTCTCAAACTAACAGATAATTATAAGATACATTTTAAAAATATCCATAAAAAAATCAACCAGATTATGTTATTAGTTTACAATATTAATAAATTTTAAATTAAGTTTCAGAATAATCATAAATATTTCATTAAAAAATGAATGAATCTATATTTTAACATCATAATTAAAACAGAAATGTATCACCCTAAAATAATTTATACAACAAATATGATGAAATTAGTCAAATCTCGCAAAAAATGAATAGTCTTAGATAAAATAGGTTTGAAAATAATTAATAATATGAAATAGATGAAATCAAAGACTAATTTATAGAAAATAGTAATCATAATATGTTGAAAAAAAGGACTTAATAAGAGAGTTCTTTTGATTTATTTTGTAAAAATTAAACAATTTTTTCACCTAATCAAAGTAAAATTGAGCAAGCTTTAAAATAGACTGAATATTCAAACTAAAATCTTTATTAAAATAATAATGTTGCTTTCTAATCCAAATAGTAAGCATAGAATCAATTAGTATAAATGGTAGAAACAACCACTGGAAAATAAAGCAAAACTTTTTTTACTCTTCATGAAAATTAAAAATAATAAAATTAAGATGTTAATTCCGTTTCTTCTTCTACTAAAAGTGTTCAAGACAAGTAATTTATATATTTTAAATTTATATTTATATTTAATTTTCTATACCATAATTTGAATTTGGTACACTTAAAAAATATCAGACCCAGTATATCATACATAACTAATTATTTAGTATTTTATTTCTTAATAATTTATTTATTTTTTTGCTTTTTATTTTTTGAAAATACAAATTGATTACAATCTTATATATATTTTAATAAAAATATTTTTATTAATATATTAAAGGTAGCTATTTGATATGATATATTAAAAAAAATAAAGCAGATTCTTTAAATGTGTTAACATATTTGGAGTAGCTTCTCTTTTAGTGATTGTGACTATAACTTTATATGAATTCTTTATTTATTTTATAAGTTTATAATCTCAATAAGAGAATTTTAAATTTATTAATTGGATTTATATGGTTAATGTTCAGTATAGTTTTGCCCTTTCTGGCATAAATACATACTTCCTAAATTAAAATAATATGCTTTTAACTCCTGCATCTAATAACTAAGCGTTTATCTAATAATTGAACGATCAAAATAAATTAAGGATGAATCTAAGCAAACAATACCTACTTCTTCTTTACAATAACACTAATCCCAACATATAAGTATTTAATCTTATTTAAAATCAATATATCCCTCAAAATATATATTACAATATATCTCATTACGACCAGTATAGCATGTCAGTACTATATTCTATGGTAATGTAGACTTATGGAATCTATTATTTTGTTTCCAACTAAGATACATATGGAATAGTTAAAAAACAAAATGAAGAAAATTACTTGGCACTTAATAATCAAGTTCAAATTATATTTTCTAAGATGAGTGATCAATACTTAAATCAACTTAATTCAATATAATAATAAAGTCTTTTCTAGCTATTTTCTACTATTTTTGTCAGCTTCTTTTGCATTTTAAGTATTATTCCAGGTTATAAGCTCATAAAAGCAAAGCAATAAAGATTTTTAGAACTATTTGCAACTTTTGATCGATAAAATCTTTAGGATATTTTATCAGACTTAACTTATTAGCTTTCTTTTTGTAAAGGATTTGACGAAAAAAATAAGCTATTAGAATCAAAATCAAGTCTATAAAGTTATGTAAATTAAAAGGATTAAAATCAATTAGACTAAAATGTTTCAGTAAATATAGAGAAAAAGTTAAATATTAGTAGAACTTCTAATTTAAATTACTCATTAAAATACCTAATATTAGGATTAATTTGCATTTTCTGCTTGATTTCAATTTATCCTATAGTAAATTATGTACTAATTAACAGATTCATAGAAAACTCATAACTAATATTTGACTTCAATAGTAACTAACTATAATTTTTTTATTAATATAATATTTAATATTTTTTATATAAACATTAAAAAGATGTAGTTTGTCAATCTTACTTCTTTATTTTAAATTCCATGAGAGTAAGGCAAGGTTTAGCTGAAGCATTCTTAATACCTTCTAAGTAATCAATTTCAGTAAAGGATCTTTAAGACATGTTAAGTTAAACAAATCAGTAAGCAGATCAATTACCTTCTCTAATCTAAGAGAATATAGGAAAAGTTGGATCTACAAATCTAAAAAATAAAGATATATTTAATAATTATTTGATAAAAGTCTATTCAGAAAATGCATGCGATACGATGTAAAATTATACATAATATCAAAATGGAGATTTTATTTATGACTAATGTTCTACTGTAGGCAAAGGTAATCTACTAAGAGGACTGCTATATGGTGTCGTTTATTACATAAGTGTTTTAAAAGAGTTTTAGAATTTTGCATTCAGTGATAATGTAGAAGAGTTTTAATAAAAATTTAATTAATACAATTTAAATACACCTGCTTATAAACAATTCTAATTTAGAATAGAATTATCTAAAGCTCACGAATACCTTATGAATTTTTTTTAAGACCAAAACCTTTAACTTTACAATTTCTATGAAAATTTCGCTATTATTTTAGTAGTTATTTAAGTATTTTTTGTGATTTTGGTTTTCATAGTATGCTGGTACTTTTATATAAAAAAACTAAATTAGCTAATTACTTCAACTAGATAGCTATTAGATGTTTTTCCGCATAAAATAATACTAAAAAATACTTATATTATGTCCTATTTAAGATAAAATGAATGACCATTAAGTATACATAAATATATTTTTTATATTTGTAAAATGTTATTGAACAAATTTAATTTTTTTTATCATAATTAAAAACATTTATATAAGTAAAGTATCATTGGGTACTTCATATTTAGAAATAATTACAGAAAATTTTATTTTAAATTAATCATAATAATATCAAATTTAGGTAAAGTGGAGGAACATAGTTTTAGTTATTGATGAAACACATACAATATATTATAATTTATTTCAAATATAGCAAGATGCCATTCAAAAATTCCATCATTTGGATGTCACTTATTATGAAATAGATTTTTTAGTAATATATTTATTAAAAAATCTGATTTTTATATTTTATAATAGAATTATAATTAGTAATTTATTTAATTTTAAAAATAAATAATTATTTTACATCAAAAATTTTAAATTTAGCTAAATTTTCTGAAGTAAGTGGGGTACACAAAATACAGAATTTTGGGGCAATTAATTAATTTCTGTAGTGAGAATAATTTGAGATATGAGAATATTATAGTAACTTAAATTTATTCCCCTCTTACTACACTAAAAGAGAGAAATCTATTAAATAAAATTTAAGTACTTTAATTACTATAATTTTATAAGACCATGAATATTCATCCTTGATTCTTGATATACTTTTAAGTATATTTTTAAATAGAAATATTAAGATTTAATAATAAATTTTATGCTAACTTTTTTATCCTAAAATCAAATTTATAAATTTGTTTTTGATAATTTTTTAATTTTTTTATCCAAATTAATATGATTTAAAAGTAAATTAATTTTTTTAATACTTATAATTAATTAATTAAATTTCCATAAATTGCTTTTCAATATTAACAAAAAAAAATAAATGATATTATAGAAATAATATTTTTATAAACTAGAAGAAGTAAAAATTTAATATTTTATTAATATTGTTTAAAATTTATTTTTATTAATAAAAAAAGTTTTTAAACTCTTCATTTTAATCGCATTAGGATCTTCGTATTTATCTGTATATTTAATTTATTAATATTATTATTCCTATTATTTTTACATTTAATATCAAGTTATTTACAATATTATTTTTCTAATTGAAATTATCTTCTTATATTCATTTATTTTTATTTATATGAATATTATTTTAATTTAATTTATATTTTGTTTATTAATTATTCATTTTTTTATATTTGATATGTTTTCATCATATTTTTCTTCTAATTAACTAATTAACTTAATTTTTTCTTCAATATTTAAGAAATGATCGTGAAATCGACTCAATAGGTGTATCAAGATTAGGGTCTGCTTTAGGAAATTGCACTAATCTCTCAAATTTAACACTTTATCTAGAGTAAAAAGAGTTTATGTGTTGGATTGAGATATTTTCGAATAAAAAATGAATTTATAACTATATAACTAACTCTTTTAATTTATTTATTTTTCTTTCTTTTATTCTGCTTATGTGTGGGAACATACTGTAAGTTCTCATATACTAACACCCCCCCACATAAACTTTTGAAAATTTTTTGGGTGTTAAAAAAAATTTTAAAAAATGTTTGGGGTTAATATAATTTGGGGTTAATTAATGAGAACTTCCAGTATATATTTTTTACAATATTTAAAAAGTTCTAACTAAATTGGTGATGAAGGTTTATCATATTTAGGTGCTGGTTTAAAAAAGTGCACTAATCTCTCAAATTTGTACATTTCTCTTTCGTAAAAACAGTTTATTTATTTATTTATTTATTTATTTATTTATTTATTTTTAATTGTGATATTTTTTAATACTAAAAGGAATTAAAAAATATATAACTACTATTTTAGTTTATTTATTAGCTTTTTGTTTGATTTATTTTTCTTTTTTTTTGTTCTGTTTAAGTTTTTTTGTTTCTTCTTTGTTAATTTAACTAATTTTTAATTTACACCTTTTTCTTTTATTTTTAATTAATTAATTAATTTATTATTATTTGATATTTTTTAATTCTAATTAACTAGTTAATTTTATATTTTTTCTTCAATATTTTAAAAGTAAAAATAAAATTGGAATTGATGTAAAAAGTTTATGCTCTGATTTAGAATAGTGCATTAATCTCTCGAATTTGACACTTTCTCTTTGGTAAAAACAGTTTATTTGTTTTTGATTGTGATATTTTTAATTATAAAAACAAATTTAAAATAATAAAGCTCTTTTTTGTTTTTCTTGTTTTCATTATTAATTTTATTTATTTAAATTTTCAACTTTTATTTTACTATTAATTAAATTCATTTCTTATTATTTCATATTTTTTATTCATTTTTTCTTTCTAGTTAACTAATTAACTTATTTTTTTCTTCAATATTTAAACAGTTAGAATTAAATTAGCGATGAGGATGCATCAGACTTAGGCTACTGTTTAAGAAATTGCACTAATCTTTAAAATTTGAAGCTTTCACTTTGGTAAAAATTGTTTATTTATTTTGAATTGTGAAATTTTTTAATATTACAATGAATTTAAAATAATATAACTAATTCTTAAAATTTATTTATTTACTTTTTTTTAGAAATTCTGGTGTTTTGTTTTATTCTTCTTTCTTTGTTAAATTAAATCATTTTTTAATTATTAACTTTTGATTTTATCATGAATTAATTCATTTCTTATTATTTCATTTTTTCCTTCTAATTAACTAATTAATTATAAATTTTTTCTTCGATATTTAAAAAGGGAAAATAAAATTGGCACAATAGGTGCATAAAATTTAGGTTCTGGTTTAGGAAAGTGCAAAAATCTCTCAAGTTTAACACTTTTTCTTATGTAAAATAGTTTATTTGTCTGGATTTTGGAATTTTTAAAAATAAAAATGAATTTATAAAAAAATAATTAACTCTTTTATTTTATTTAGGTATTTATTTAGTTTTTCTCTTTTTTTTTTAT